GTTCATGCGAGCTCATGCCCACATTGAAACCAAACGACGGGAGCCCTGGTACTATACTGCCCGAACGCGCGATTTGATCAAAGATGGTAATTGGGTGATTTTAATAAATGCCACATAACTAACTATTGATCCTAGTCATCCGAACCCGTTACTCCTACCTGCCATACATGTACACTCTGTTCCATGAAAACGAATTCACTGGAATGCCGCCGATGCGACCACTATGGATGCAATTCCCGACTGACAGCCAGGCTTTGTCCATTGACACCACCTATCTATTGGGATCGGACTTGCTGGTGGCGCCCGTGTTGGATAAAGTTGTCAAAGCGATAAAAGTGTATTTGCCTCAGGACGCTAGAGAATCTACTTCTTGGCTTATCATTGACTCGCATCGAGTCGTCAAAGGTGGTCAGACTTACATCTTCGATGTGGACATCAGCTCACTGCTCATCTTTCAACGAAGTGGTTCCATTATCCCAAAAAGGTAAATGCTGTCTGATGCTGCAGTAATTAAGTAAAATATTGTTAAACTTTTATAGAGAAAGACTGCGTCGTTCGGCCGTTTTGGCATTAACCATGAATGATCCCATTTCACTGCAAATTTTTGCTGACACTAAAGGCAATGCCAACGGTTCACTGTACCTTGATGATGGTCTTACTTACGATTACCGCACAAAGAAAGCATTTGCTTTTGGTAGTTTTGAATACTCCAAACGATCAGTAATCTACACATTTGAACGGGGAAACGCCAACTGCACTTCATCTTGGCTTGAACGTGTCACTATCCACTGGCATGCATCTAAACCTAGCCGCATCACTGCGCAGTACGAATCAGCTGGGTCAAAGGCAACACAACTTGCCTTCAAGTATGATGCGAAAAGGAAAATTCTTGTCATTCGGAAGCCAGCACTGCTGTTTACCCAGAACTGGCGAATCAAAATTACCTGATCTAGTTGTTGTAAGCAATACAGTTTCTCTGTGATCTTTTATATATTGGTAAATGAAAAGCCTTTGAATTCATCCTGATCAATTGAACTGATCATCTCAGAATTTGTCGGTGTGAGAAGTGTCTCTTGTCGAGTGAAACTTGTGTCGAAATTGGTCACATCACATGTGGAATTCTGAAAAAAATGTTTTGATCGTAAATAAAATGAAATTGTAAGAAACTAAAACAATCATACGATTTGAGGTTGGAATGGAGGCTTTATCTTTTTTGCTTCCATAGCACTCCAGTCCACGTCTCGAAAGAAGGGATGACTTTTTATTTCATTGTCTGCTTCAAATTGTGCACAGCCCAAACGTGTTGCTGGATCTTTGGTGAGAAGCTACAAAAGATAAAAATAAATAAAGCTATTTAAAAATAGTAATAATTTTCCTCTACTCACCCCTTTTAAAATTGAATCTGCTTGTTTGGAAAGCCACGTTGGATATGGAACAGAGTCTTCGAGAATTGCCTTAAACAAGTCGTCCTCGTTGTCAGATTGAAATGGCGGCTGTCCGAGCATCATTTCGTAAAGTAAAACACCTAGAGACCACCTGCAATAAATGATTACCTGTGCTTTAGCAGTCAGGCAAACCCAGCAGTTTTTAACTACGAACCAGTCAACACTTGGACCATAATCGAGTTCTTTCAAAATTTCCGGGGCAATATAGTCTGGAGTGCCGCAAAAAGTGGACGTCTTCCGACTACTGGTAACATTTTCCTTGCACATACCAAAATCAACAAGTTTACAGTGACCGTCAGCATCGAGGAGAACATTGTCCAGCTTTAAGTCTCTGAGCATAACAAACGATTAAAACTTTTGATGATTAATGTGAGTGCTCTCACCGGTAAATGACGTTGTTTCGATGCAGAAAAAGCAAAGCCAGTGTCACTTCAACAGCATAAAATCGGGCTCGAGCCTCATTAAATTTGCCCGCTTTTTGCATGTGAAACATCAAATCTCCACCGCTGACGTATTGCATTACGAAAAATAGACGATCCTAAAAGACAGTTTTAATATCTTTCATTAAATAATGTCAATTCACTTACTTCAGTCTGAAAGCAGGAGTGCAGTGAGACAAGGAACGGGTGCTGCGTGGCCAGAATAAGTACGCGCTTCTCTGACATAGCGCACTCCACATCACAGCTAATATTCTGTAGAAAGGTGTCTTTTCTCAGTACCTTCACAGCGTAAACCTGGTCAGTCTTCTTCAGCTTGGCGAGCATCACTTTGCCAAAACTGCCCTTTCCAATGACTTTGAGAAAACTGAAATCATCAATACTATAGTAGCCCACTGACGACTGAAACGGTTTTTTCTTCTCCATAGAATCCGCACTTGCTTTGTTGATGCCTAACCTGCCAAGCTCATCACTAAACTGTTTAATATCAATGCCACAGGTATTTTTCACATTTTTAAGGCAGTTCTTGTGCACATTCATTTTGCATTCTAGAGAGACAGCAAAAGAACATCTAAGTTAACTAATGTCCTATTAGAACAAACCTTTAGAACCTAGATTATACCTTCACATTGGAGACCCTGGTGGTGTAAGCCAAACAGCAAAGAGCCGCAGTGATCACAAAACGTAGGTATCATGTAGGTGTTAAAATCAAAGCGATGTGGAATGTTCAACTTGAAAGCTCTCTTTTTATCACTATCGTCGCATTCCTTGGCTCCAAAACATTTTGACAGTACCTCTAGATAGCATTTTTCATGGGCAGTCAACGTGCAAACTGTAAAATCAAGTTAATGGAAGTCTTTACTAAACATGTAAACTAGCGTACCTTGACATTGATATCCCTTAAGTCCCCAGATAAAGTCCCGACAGTGAGAGCACTGCTTCGGCTGAAGCAGTACAGTGGCCATAAACTTGTGACCTTTCACCTGATAAACTCGTCCTCGAATTGCACCTCTTCGTTTTTTGTCGAGTCCAAACGCAAAACGTTCTTTAAACTCTCTTGTTGGTAAAAACACTGGTTTCTTTGACAAGTGAACCAGAATATGCAGCTTGCCCTTTGGTTCAAGATTCACCTGTTGAATGACAAAAAAACCAACTGTTATTCTTTAAAAAAAATCAATTATTCGGGTCAAATCCTTACCCAAAAATCAAATGCATCGTTTCTTGGTTGGGGCAAGTCGTCAAATAGCATAGAGAAGTTTGCGACAAAATCGTCTTCAGGAAAAACTGACTTGTCAAAGACGGTCAGTTGAAGATTGTTTGCGTCAATTAGATTACATGTGAATACTTCATTCCATTTTGGATCAGAAGTGCGCATTTTTACGGTAGTCCTGCCAACTTCTTGTGAATCGTCGACCGATATGTCAACATAAGGGTCTATATTTGGATTTTTAATAATCGAGTTGCGAAGTGACAGTTCAGTTGGCTGAAGACCAGTGGCTTCGACGATGGTCAACTTCAAATGTCCGGTAAACGGCATTTTGGTTAAGTTTCAAATCTGGTTTTAAGAACAATGCTAATTACTGAAGTATCACCTCATGGAAGGTTTTTTCCAACAAAAATTAAATTCTTGTTTTCATCGTGGAACTTTGTTTTGAAATAAATAAAAAGTCAAAGCGCCCTCTGGTATTCCTTCAAACATTCCACGCGAACAAACTCAGAATTTTTGTTCAAGTGAAAAACTTTTTTAAAATCAGTTTAAGTTTCAATATTATTATTTGAACTCAAAAATATTTTACAGTTTCAAATGCCGCCAATAAAATGTCGTTTTGTGTTTAGATTTTGTATTCTGCCCAATTTACATTCAGATAATTCGAGTTTAGATACTTTTGCATTTTTGCTTGATCATAGCTGAAATAGCCAAGTTTGAACAGTAGAACCAAACATTATGAAATCATCTTTGAGCACAGATATTCTAATTTAAAGTGTTCTTATAATTTGGGTATTTTCAGTTGATGCATCGTACGAAAAATTGACATTTCAGACATTGTATTTTTTCAAAAATCACAAAATACGTTGTTTTTGAGCATCACACAAATTGAGATACCGAAGCTGTCTGTCGTGTCTTAAGGTGCCAACTGAAGAGAAAGCACCCATCAACAGTGCCAATTTTCATCTTTCGCAAAACACCAATTAAAAGTTACCCATTTTAAAATTTGTTTTTGCGCTCATTCAAGATGCTCTGCGTGCTTCTCATCACCTTAGCATCGCTAGTCAACTACTCAGTGGAGGTGGATAGAAGTAATTTTAAAACGTGTGATCAGTCAGGCTTCTGCAGGTGAGTAATAGCTCAAATTGCAACCTTTCATCGACGTGTTAACAATCCAAATTAAACCGCAGACGTAATCGTGGCTTAAATACTTCAAAGTGGACGGTTGCAAGTGGAAGTGTCCAGACATCGGAAGATGCTGAAATGGTGCAGTTTGGACTGAAAAGTAGCAGTGACCTCGTGTTACAGGTGACAGTTTCATCGTTGATTTCAGGGCAAACATTCCGTTTGGAAGTGGATGAAATTAAGGCGCCAAAGAAACGACTTAATGTGGGGCCAATTGTGCTGATGCCGAATTTAAAAAAGTCAAAGTTGACAATTCGGGAAAAGTCAAACAGTGCCTTTACCATTGAAGTGAATGATGATCTAAATGGACTGAAAAATAAATTGGTAATCACTGCTGATCCATTCCGAATCGACGTCTTCAGCGGCGATGACTTGGTCATGGTGGCTAATCAGCGTGGCCTGTTCAATTTTGAGCAATTTCGTGTTAAGCCCCAAGGTTTGTTTCGCAAAGTGTTTCGCAACTTGGCTAAATGGTTTATATCGCAAGCAGAAGGCGAGCCGGATGACTGCACTGAAAGTTGCTGGGAAGAGCAGTTCAAAGGATCATCTGATAGCAAGCCAAACGGCCCCATGTCTGTTGGCATGGACGTTTCATTTATTGGCTTCGAGCACGTTTACGGCATTCCATCGCATGCGGACAGCTTCTCACTGAAGAACACCAAAGGCACCTCTGACCCTTACCGTTTGTACAATGTGGACATTTTTGAGTATGATGTGTACAATCCAATGTCGCTCTATGGAGCCTACCCCCTGATGGTGGCCCACTCAACAGCACCAAAGACAGTCGGTCTCTTCTGGTTGAATCCTTCCGAAACGTGGATTGACATTGAATCATCAAACAGTGGCAATATGGGCATTCTTTCCAACCTGGTGTCAGAACAGAAGCTCAACAAGCTGACGCACTGGATCAGTGAGACTGGAGTTATCGACGTTTTCTTCCTGCTGGGTCCATCAGCCTCCCAAGTGATGGCCCAAA